TGCCCACGTTAGCATGCACCCAAAGAGTTACCGTCCCATAACTTTTTCTAGCTGAGGGTTAAATAAAATTACGAAGAGCAGAAGGAAATATGAGAGAGAGAAAATGGAAGAATCGTAATCAGAAAATACCACCTACATTTTCATCTTTCTTTGAGTCCTTTGATTTTTCTGGTTTCTTTAAATGAAACAATGCTTTGATCCATTTCTTAGAGGCACCAATGACTATCGATCAACTCCAGACCTATCATAGAATGCCCAGAAATGCATTATACGCATATTTCTCATTCAAAACCAGTTTTTTACTCCTGACAATTGTTTTCCACATAAAAGAAAGTAAATGAGGGTACAAGTTAATCATTTTCAAAAGATAAAGAAGTCAAAGAAGAGAATACATATATAAATTAGTGAATGTAGCAGTAAACAACAAAGTGGCAAATATTTTGGAAACATAACGTTTTAGGAAAATTGATTTATTAAGCTGAAAGGAAAACAAAAAGGGAAAGTAAAGATGCAACTTCAGTGAAGAAGGTAAAACATGCAATCAAAGGTTTGGAATAGGAACATGGTACCAAAAAAAATGTTACTGTTAGACCATAACTCAGAAGATATCACAAAATCTTGTGCAACATGAGTAATATAACTAGTATGGAATACAATTTTCCTATTGATTTTTCTTTTGACCAGTAAATATCCACATACTGTAAGCAATTAAATTTGATCCTAATGCCAAGATCTTAGAATTTCATGATTTTCACATTTTAGTAAATTGATCAAGATACATACCTTGATCCATGGTGATTATTGAAATTTCTCAAATCTGCAAAACAAGATAAATACGTGAAATATAGAGGAACTGTTCTCTCAACTTAACCCTCCTTTACTTATGACTTTTCTATTGTCTATCATTATTGGTATGTAGCCCAAAAATATGTAGGGTAGAGAGAGGACAGGTTTCCCCATAAATAACTGCCATAAAACCACTCCCCATAAAAGTGGTTAATAGGAAAAATAACTTCCCATAAAATCTCACGTGCTTACCTTAAGGAGCCAATAACTTCCTCAAATTTAAAATTCAAATAATGTCAATTTTCTGGTCATGTGGGACATTAATTCTTAAATTCTCCCACTTGGCCCATATGACAACGACAGTTTATTTGAATTGATAAGGTAACTATAATATGAGCATAACATTAGCTCATTTGCACTTTTAGTAAGATTACATTAATATTGTAATTAAATAACTTACCAACATGGGTCATGGCGGTAAATATCATTATAGCAACATTTTCCCTTCCATGTACCATGATTTCAATAAATCACTTAATCACAATCCATAACGGGAAGTAACTATAATGTCCCAATAATGTCTTTGTCAAAGACGATTCTTGTTATCAATAATCCATATCCATAATTACGTAATACATGGAAAACAAGAAAATATCAGAAACACAGTAAGTGAGATCTCTATTAATGTCTTAGAACAAAACATAAAGATTGAGATCGATAAACAAAACTCATGGATTAAAACCAAGACCCATACGATCAACATGCTCTTTAATTGTCTTTAGTGGTAATCCTTTAGTTAAAGGATCTGCAATCATGAGCTCAGTCTTAACATGTTTTATAGACACTCTTTGTTTCTGAACTTCCTCCTTAATGGCCAAATATTTGAGCTCTATATGCTTAGCGCCATTAGTATATTTGTAGTTCTTGGAGAAAATGACAACTGGGGAATTATCACAATACACTCTCAGCGGCCTGGCAATACTGTCGAAAATTCCAAGGCCGAGATAAAATTTCGTAGCCATAATGCATGAACTGTGGCCTCAAAGCATGCCACAAATTTAGCTTCCATGGTAGATGCTGCTATGACAGTCTGTTTGGCACTCTTCCATGATATTGTTATTTCGGCTAATAGGAACAAGTAACCAGACGTTGATTTTCGACTGTCAATACAACCAGCAAAATCTGAGTCGAAGTAACCAACCACTTCCAATTGATCAAATCTTCGATACATTAGCATGTACTGCCTTGTTCCCTTCAAATAACTCAACACCTTATTCGCAGCTTTCCAATGCACAATTTCGGGATTTCTTTGGTATCTCCCCAGCATACCAACTGCAAAGTTGATGTCTGGTCTCGTACAAGTTTGTGCATGCATCAAGCTTCCAATGACAGATGCGTAAGGAATAATTTCCAGACTTTTCCTTTCCAATGCATTCTGTGGACAATCCCTTTCACTTGTCCCCTTTACAAATAGGAGCAGGAGTAGTAGCACAATTGGCCATTTTAAATCTTTTAAGAACTTTATCGATATATCCTTTCTAAGACAGTCCTAACACTCCACGTGATCTATCACAGAATATCTCAATTCTTATCACGTAGGTTGCCTCACCTATATCTTTCATTTCAAAGTTCATAGAAAGAAATTTCTTAGTTTCATGCAGTAATCTAATATCACTACTAGCAAGCAATATATTGTCAACATATAGAATCAGGAAAATAAACTTACTCTTCAAATATATACACCAATCAACAGTGTTTTCCTTAAATCCAAAGGACGTGATGGTATCATTGAACTTAATATACCATTGTCTGGAAGCTTGTTTAAGTCCATAAATTGACTTCTTTAATTTGCATACCATTTAATCAAAAAACCTTCAGGTTGATCCATATAGACCTCTTAATCTAAATTTCCATTTAAAAAGACAGTTTTCACATCCATCAGATGTAGCTCAAAATCAAAATGAGCTACTAGTGCCATTATGATTCTAAGAGAGTCCTTTTTCGATACAGGAGAGAACGTCTCTTTGTAATCAACACCTCCCTTGTGAGTGAAACATTTTGCAACAAGTCTGACTTTATGTTGTTCAATATTGCCATTACAATCGCGTTTGGTCTTAAAAACCCATTTATACCCGACTGACTTAGAACCTTCTGGCAAATCAACGACATCCAAAACTTCATTCTGTTCCATTGATTTCATCTCATCATTCATATCATTGATCCACTTTTCAGAATCATCACTTTCAACGGCTTGTGAAAATGAAACCGAATCTTTACTCGTCCCTAAATCATAATCCGATTCTTGCAGATATACTAAATAATCATCTGAAATAGCTGATCTTCTTTCTCTTTGAGATCTTCTTAATACTATTTCTTGTGGCTGTTCTGCAATCGATTTATTGATGGCAATCTCATTATGGAGTGACTGATCACTAGATTGTTGTTCGGTGTTGTTTTACTGTTCTACAACAGGAGAAACAACAATATCCCTTGAAGTTACGGGTATCGGGACGGGCACCTGAACTTCTTGGATGATCACATTACGTGATGCGTCACTCCCACTAATTTCACCATTCTCAAAAAATCTGGCATTTTCGGTTTCTACAATCTTTGTATTATGGCTAGGATAGTAAAACCTATACCCTTTGGACTTTTCTGGGTAACCAATGAAGTACCCGCTTATAGTTCTAGAATCCAATTTCTTTTCATGTGGATTGTAGATTCTAGCCTCCGCTGGACAACCCCAAATATGAAGATGTCGTAAGCTCGGCTTCTTTCCCGTCCATAATTCAAAAGGTATCTTTTGAACTGCCTTACTAGGAACCCGATTAAGCAAATAGACAGCGGTCTTAAGGGCTTCCATCCACAACGAAATGGGTACTGAGGAGTTACTTAACATACTCCTAGCCATTTCCATAAGTGTACGATTTCGCCTTTCAGCTACTCCATTCTGCTGAGGCGTACCAGGCATTGTGTATTGTGCACAAATGTCATGCTCTTCTAGGAATTTAGCAAAAAGACCTGGACATTATCTCACTCCATCATACATTGCATAATACTCATCACCTCTATCAGATCGAATGATTTTCATCTTTCGATCTAATTGTCTCTCAACTTCAGCAATATATGCTTTTAAGGCATTTATTGCTTGAGACTTTTCATGTAACAAATAGACATAACTATAATGTGAAAAATCATCAATGAAGGTGATAAAATACTTTTCTCCACCAAGTGATGGTGAGTCAAAAGGTCCACAACTATCAGTATGGACAATCTCCAAAAGCTCTTCACTTCTTGTGGCTCCTTTCTTTGTATGTTTGGTTTGCTTTCCTTTAATACAATCCACACATACATCAAAATCATTAAAGTCAAGATCTAAAAGAATATCATCATTTACTAATCTCTCCATCCTTTCTCTGGATATATGCCACAAGATGGAAGAATTTTCATAAGCTCATCTACGTTTAATTCCAACATTGTGATGTAGAGTTAGAAGGGTTTGCACAAAAGTTTTATTAAGATTAAATCTATACAACCCTTCATATAAAATGCCAGAACCAACAAATGTACCATTTTTAAACAAACGAAAACTATTATTATTAAAATCAAACGAATATCCGGAGAAATCAAGTCTTGATAAAGAAACTAAATTTCTGGAAAGAGAAGGTACATAAAGAGTATCAAATAGGTACAAATAATGGACTGATTCTAAAAACAAACGAAAAGTTCCAACACCAATAACTAGTACTTCCATTCCATTTCCCAAGATTACGAAATGTTCATTTTCCTTTATGTTCTGGATTGAAAGGTATCCCTGCATCGAATTTGAAATATGAATTGTAGAACCAGAGTCAATTCACCATGCATTAGAAGGAACTTGAGTGATATTTGATTCGAAACATACATGAGTTAGAAGCTCACCTTTCTTTTCTAACCAAGCTCTACGTTTCGAACAATCTTTCTTTAAATACCCAGAGCTATGACAGAAATAACATTTCGATCCATTCTGTTCCTTCTTGTGAACCCTGTTAGCATTAGAGGTTCCAGCAATCTTTAATGGATCTTTCTTGAAGCTCTTCTTTGGTTTCTTTCCTTTATTTCCAGCTCTATGACTCATAACATTTACTAAATGCTGACCTTGTTGCTTAAGCCTTACCTCTTCTTGAAAAAGCATACTTGCCAATTCATTCACGTTCCACTTTTCCTTAATAGTGTTATAGAAATGGCCCATATTGAGCAGGCAAGGAATTCAGAATAAATTGAATAAGGAAACTTTCATCGACATTCATTCCCAGAGTTTTGAGTCTAACAGCCAGTTTAGTCATTTCAAGGACATGTTCGTGCATCCCACGGCTACCATCAAATTTCATGGTGGTAAGTCCAGCCATTAATCTCCCTCCAAGGGACTTATCTGCTGAACGGAAGCGATCTTCCACATCCTTGAGATACTCCTTTGCATTTTCATTTTGAGGAAGCGTTGACTTAATATTATTCACCATACACATTCGCATAAACATAATGCCTAACCTATTCGATCTTTCCCATGACTTAAACAAAGCTCGCTCTTCCGCACTGCTAGTTTCAGTAATAGCAAGAGGTGTTTCAATTCGCAAAGCTAAGTCAAGATCCAGAACACCGAGATGAAACTGGATCTGTTCCTTCCAGTCAGAGAAATTTGATCCATTAAAGATTGGAATAGATGAAGCTAGCGAATGAAGCGAAACAAGAACTAACACTACAATACATACATTCACAACATTAATGCTCTGAGAGAAAAACTTTCATTAGTATTATTGCGTTCAATCTTTGGATTAACTAATGCAATATACTAGCAATTAAACTTTAATTGTTACTGTAGTTCTCCTTTGGGAGATACTACGTTACACCAATCATAATAAATGCAAAGATGCTACCTTTAGTTTCACTTTAATTGGTAATTGAATATACTCCAATTAGACATGTCTGTTATCTTTGGTATACAAAACACATCTAATTAAGCATATCAATTAACCACGATCATGTTCAAGATTAATAAAACTAACTGATCAACCTTTGGGTGATCCATAACAATTTTATAATCTATGAACGTCAATATACTCTTGACATCAATAATTTTTAATGTCATTTCATGATATAAGTATCGCACTATCAAGAGTATTTGACAAGTAAATTATGTAATTTAATGTTCGCATATTATAATATTTGGCCACTTTGGTGACTAACAAACTACATCAATCGAGCATAAATTACATAAACAAACCATATACCACTTAGTGTTTCCAGTTATTATCTATTCCATCAACAAATTTACATACATTTGACTAGCCACAAAAACACATGATAAATCAATTAATGCAGTAATCTATAATGGCATAATACAATTAATTGTTTATGTGAGGACAGTCACTAATTATATATATATATGGCTCAGATACTTTAAAATTCGGCATCCAAACTACACTAATTGCTACAGTAAATTAGGCACCCAATATTCCATCATTTCGAAATTTTCTTCCTGCTACTACTGTACATAATATACACATAATTACTGGTTTTGGTAATTGGGGTCAAAGCTTGAAATCCTTAATCGAACATAACTTTAATGACCACAACACATTTATACCAAAATCAGAAAATGGAATCTTCACCGTGACAAATATTAAGTCAAGGTCCTTCCAATAATTAATTGATTTTCATGTGTCAGGTTTACAGGGTACTGTGCACATTCATATATACCCCATAAGTAGAGTTACTGGAAAACTAAATGCAAAAGCATTTCATCCAAATTACATGTACAGTGGACGGCAGATACTTTGCCATTGTGAGACCCAAGAAATCAAACCTTTCTTTTGGTCAAACACAGTATGGCAGAATTATATATATTCTACAAGAGCTGTCCCATCCATTAATTTTCATGACACATGAAACAATAGTAAATGTAATTGATACGTACTTTTCTGATGACTATTTCGAGGCAGACAACATAAAAATCAAAGATGCATTTATTGTTTTAATAGCAGTCAAACAGGAACAAAATACATCTTCAACGAAACCTTTAATTCTTATTTTGCACATTGATCCATAAATCGATACGTAAAAATTAAAGATCCATGGATGTAAAACATTAATCTTTAATGAAAAATTATGAATTCCATAGCTTGTGCTCGGATACCACATATAAGCAATTAAATTTGATCCTAATGCCAAGATCTTAGAATTTCATGATTTTCACATTTTAGAAAATTGATCAAGATACATACCTTGATCCATGGTGATTATTGAAATTTCTCAATTCTGCAAAACAAGATAAATACGTGAAATATAGAGGAATTGTTCTCTCAACTTAACCCTCCTTTTCTTATGACTTTTCTATTGTTTATCATTATGGGTATGCAGCCAAAAAATATGTAGGGTAGAGAGAGGATGGTTTTCCCCATAAATAACTGCCATAAAACCACTCTCCATAAAGGTGGTTAATAGGAAAAATAACTTCCCATAAAATCTCATGTGCTTACCTTAGGGAGCCAATAACTTCCTCAAATTTAAAATTCAAATAATGTCAGTTTTCTGGTCATGTGGGACATTAATTCTTACACATACAACATTGAGTAAATCAACAATAAAAAGCCACTGTGGAGCAAATGCAGATCGATCATCAACTGAGCTACAAGTTTTCAATTTAGTATTTAGAAGACAATTTCCACTTAAGTGATAATAAAAAGAAACAAAGCATGAGAAGTATGTTCCCGATTTACACTTAGTACTGACTAAGACAACATATATTTAAATGCTTTTTAAACGAAAAATCTTATTTCTAGTCCTAATTAATACAGAAGGACAACTTAACACCTATAAGTTGCAGTTACGATACTTGGGAGGCTTAAGATCTTTAGAGTAGTTTTTCACCACTCCTTTCCTGAGACGTAAAACTTGTATATATCGGACTCAAACGTGCAACCAATATGAAAAATGTTCAAGAATTTTATGCAGCTCAAGAGAAAGCATTCATGTGCATGTTCAGTTAAAGAGTAAAACTGTATATTGGTTCCATTGAGATCTCACATATGGAAGACTATTAATAATGAATATTTTAACGACTTGAAAGTTAATGCTACTAGTTAGTAAAACATCGCAATCACATTGCTAAATCATTCTGGAACCGATGCATATTTTATTTGGCATCATCTATGGACAAAATTATACGCACTTTCTAAATCATTCCTGCCTTTGAGAGGTTGCATTGGATCTATCTATACATATCGTCAATGCGTCTTCGACAAAGGAAAAAAGTCAGAATTGGGTTAAAGCAGAATCAATAATGCTGATGAAGAATTAACGATGCAATCATGCTTGGTGCTTTTTTTTTTTTTTTGCCAAAATCATTTGACAAATTCAGAAATCACTGTCTTTTCATCCAATAATTTTTTGTCAACATATTTTTTTTTTTGTCAATAAGATGGCTAAAGACAATGCATGAATGGCAAAATCCTTTTTGATCAAACTTTAATCATAATTGAGATTTCTCAGAACAATAATGCTGCTCAACCTGGGATAAAATCCCGAGTTTGGAGCCAGGGGCAAAGGTGGCGTGACCTCGGCCCCTGATTTGAAATCCGTGGGCCTTTTGTGATGTAAGATCAAGGGCCGAGGTCACACCATCTCGGCCCTAGATCGAAACCCGGGATTTAATCCTGAGTTCTGCAGCACGATTGTTCTTAGAACTTGGAATATGCATTGTTTGGCAGGTGTGGGGGCCAGCTAATGTGCGCTAGGGGATTTGACAGAGAAGCATACCATCTTCAACCTGCACCAAAATTTAAGGCATATTTTATACAACTAGTTAAAGTTGAACATATATTAGATGTTATTCTAAAATACTTTATAAATGATGTAAAAGTAATATTTGGTACTAATTTGTTGGGGAATTTGATGAATCTCGGATAAATAAAAGAAAATAAAATTTAGCATAATTTTTTTTTTGTCAATAAGATGGCTAAAGACAATGCATGAATGGCAAAATCCTTTTTGATCAAACTTTAATCATAATTGAGATTTCTCAGAACAATAATGCTGCTCAACCTGGGATAAAATCCCGAGTTTGGAGCCAGGGGCAAAGGTGGCGTGACCTCGGCCCCTGATTTGAAATCCGTGGGCCTTTTGTGATGTAAGATCAAGGGCCGAGGTCACACCATCTCGGCCCTAGATCGAAACCCGGGATTTAATCCTGAGTTCTGCAGCACGATTGTTCTTAGAACTTGGAATATGCATTGTTTGGCAGGTGTGGGGGCCAGCTAATGTGCGCTAGGGGATTTGACAGAGAAGCATACCATCTTCAACCTGCACCAAAATTTAAGGCATGTTTTATACAACTAGTTAAAGTTGAACATATATTAGATGTTATTCTAAAATACTTTATAAGTGATGTAAAAGTAATATTTGGTACTAATTTGTTGGGGAATTTGATGAATCTCGGATAAATAAAAGAAAATAAAATTTAGCATAAAAGTTTAAGAGAAAAATTGTACTTAAATTGTACTCTCAAAACTCAATTTTTATTATTCAAATTTTTTGTAATAATGAAATAATATAAATGAGCAATTTTTTTATATTACATTTGATACATAAAAATTAACTGTTAATATATAAATTTAAACACCCATTAAAAATTTTAGATACATGAATATGATTAAATTTATCTATAATAATCCTAGATTCATTTAATTCAAAATTCATCAAGTGAAAATTCATTGAATCTAGATTAATGTGAATATAATTAATTGAGAATTAGTAACACAAATTTCATAAACGACAATAATTATGTAGTATTTATTATATATCGAAAAATGAAAAAATAAGGTATTATTGAAATAATTGAATTGTAGAAAGGTTAAAATAGTTCAAAAAATGATTTTTCCTTGATATGATATTTTAATATATTATAAATTTTGTACCAAATTTTACACCGAACAAAAATTGTCTCCAATCCAACATACCAAATATTGCACTAAATGATCGATATTTTATCATTTTCTTCATTTTTTTATTCGTAATTATTTATTTATCAAAAAAATGTTTATTTATTTGTTTTGTTACTAAATAAATAATTATGTTTAGTTAACAAAAATATTAATCAATCATGCTTAATTAAAGAAAATTTTGAATTCATTAATCAATTTAAAAAATATATTACAATTAATATAAATATCACAACTAAAAAAAATCATATTCTAAAAAAAATAGTTTAATACGCGTTTGTATGTAGCTGTTGTGATATTCTCGACTTAATTTAATTGTGTTTGTTACATCTTAGATCTTCTTGAGTAATTTTATTTTATTTAATCCCTTAATAATTATTGATTACATAATTAAAATTTATAATAATAATAATAATAATTAAATTAAAAATTATTGTATAAAAAAAATGGACACAAATGTCCCCAACAAATTTTTTATGCAAAGTGAAAAAGAACGGCAAAAAGGTGCAAAAATAGTGCAATGGGTTGGAGATCAATTGCACAAAAATTTTGGTGCCCAGGGATTGGATTGAAGATGTCCTTGGAGATAAAGTGTAAGACATCGTTTTATTCATGTTAAACAGAAAAAAGAAAATGGGCATTACAATCCCACAAAATATAAAGTTTACAATTCAAAAAACAAGTTTAAGGTTTGATTGATCAAAAATTAGACTATAATTTCACATTTAATGTTAATATATAATATTATAAATTAATCTATATACCCATTCATATCCTATCTAGTCATCCAAACCCTAATCATCTCTACACTCTTCCATCTCTTTATATTTCTATTCTCTCTTGTTTCTTATTAATTCCCACCATCGTTGGCACAACGCCGCTCAAAACAACGTTGCTTGACGTGTGCCGCAACGAATTGAAATCCACAAAGAAGGGTGAGCAAAGCCACCGCAACAGAGCAAAATCCACAACGAAGCGTTTTATAACCAAGGTCATAGTAGAGGAAAACGAGTGTAAGAGTAGAAGAAGATGGCAAAACGTGTCAGAGAGATCCACGGAAGGCTTATGTTTGACTATGTTCTACGTAGTCTCAAGATGGTGCCATCGCCATATTTTGGATCAGGTTTAGTCTTCGCTAATTGTCGTTGCAACAATGACAATGATGCCATTGCCATATTTTAGATTTGGTTTTTACATGATTTTGAATCGTTTTGGTGGTGATTGTACAGTGATTTTGATGGGTTTCATTGTGGTGTTTGATGTTGGTGGTGGTGGCGCTAGTTTGTGGCGAGGTGGTCGTGGTCACAAATGGTGGTAGTGGTGCAGATGATTGTGTATGTGGATGTGGTTCTGGTTTTGGCTGTGGGGAGGTCGTGGTTGTGGTCACAAAGAATAGTGGTAGTTGTTGTTGTGTAGTTGGAAATGGTGGTTTGATAATTTTGAAGTTGAAAATGGTAATTTGTTAAAGGTGCTAGTTGTGGTGGTGAGGTGGCGCTCTTTCAATTGGTGCCATGGTGTATTGGGGTTGGGTGGCGTAGGTGGTGGGATTAAAAGTGCTTGTGACCAATAAATTGGATATTTTGTAACCAATTTATAATATGTTGCCAATAACTTGTGACCAATAAATAATATGTAATTTAAAAATTTGAATCGTGACTTATAAAATTTGTGATTTGTAATAGATAAATAAATTGTGATCTATAAACTTTTTGATTTATGATCGTAAAATAATTTTTGACCTATAAAATTTTTTATTCATTATCGAGAAATAATTTGTGATTTATTAATTTGATAATTTGTGATCAAATAGTATAGAATTGTGATATTAATATATTTAATTAATAAAATATTTTTTTAATTAATTATTTCATAAATAAAATTTAATTAATATCTGTTTTTAAAAGTTTTAAACATAGTTTTTTAGTTTTGAAATAGGTCATATTTTATCTCTTGGATATGAATTTTTTATAAATAGAAATCTTTAAAGTTATCGTCGAGAGGAAAAAGGCCCAGACTCAATCACAAGATTTTTGTTTGGACTTTGCCATATTACCAGGCTTATTTGCACAGAACCTTGATAGGCAATATTTTAATTGTTGAGTTGCACATCATTGAATAGTGAAATTCATTTCAAAATCGGGAGAAACTTTCCAAGCAATGCAATTTCCCCAAAATTGGAAAACAACAGCTTTTTCCCTCCTTTCCCTCTCTCCCGCTCGTTCATTCCCGACGGTCGTTTCTACAAATCCGACAGCACTTCCGACAGTGATTTCGGCAACATCCACGTGACAACATTTTTTCATCGACACCGTCTAACCCAGGTGAACAACACTGTTCAATGATGCAATTTTTCCAATTTGACATATTTTTTCACTTCTTTATTTTTCCAAATTTGTTGTTTGCAAACCATGAAAATTGCCATTGTTTAAAAAAATATTGAATGATAGTGAATGTAGTTGTTTAACTTAAAAATTCATTGGCTTCGATTTGTTGTTTGACATATTTCTTCACTTCCATTTGCTGTTTGATAGTGGATGTAGTTGTTTAACTTAAAAAAACATTGGCTTCGACGAAGCACATCGACAGAAGTTAATGTGTCTGAAATGCAATTCCTACAATCCAATAACACCCATTACTAGAAATCTCTCAATGTCCTCACCAATTCTTGCTTGTCAAGCTTTGGCAAAGATGACACTACCTATTTGGCTGGAGAATAGCCATGAAAGGATATCAATTGAACTAATATTTTCCTCCAATCACTATTAAACTTTAATTAGTCTTGCCTCTTTTCTGAAATCTACATCATGAACTTAAATCTTAACAATAGACATATTACACTTCTATTGAATATCGAGAGTAAGTTTATGTGATTTTCCAAAATCACTGATCATGTAGATGATGCAAGTTTATCTCTATCCGTGTTTCACATATTGTGCATTTCATGGTTATGGAAGAGACGTGAACATGTTGATGTTGTAGAGTAATTGGATATTTGTCTTGAAAAAATGACTGGATGCAAAAATGATTTTGTATTTATATATATATATATATATATATCTCTGGGGGAAGAATTGTTTGCGCCTTTTGCTGACAATTCATTGAATTTGTGGACGCAGGAAAAAATATGGAAGATGGCACTGATGATTTTTTGTTGAAAACCGGGGATGAGATCGTTGCGGAGAATATGAACGTAGTGGAAGATCAAATGTTAGGAGGTGATGGTGTCATCATGCCTAAGGTGGGCATGATGTTCAACAGTGAGAAGGAAATATTTGAATTGTACAAACAATATGCATACAGCGTAGGTTTTCCTGTAAAAAAAAGGAATTCAAAAAAAGGGGACGATGGGGTTTTGAGATTTGTGACATACGCTTGTGGCCGTGAAGGTCGAAGACCAAGTACTGTTATCGAATCTGTAAGGCTGCAACCAACAATTCAAATCAATTGTAAGGCCAGGATAAGTGCATCTCCATATGATCATGACTCTTGGAGAATTAATGCAATCCACCTCGACCATAATCATAGAACAAGCCCATCGAAATCCAGGTTCATTCGATGCAACAGAGAATTGAGTACACAGGTGAAGCGGATGCTTGAAGTGAATGATATGGTAGGAATTTTGTTGCACAAAAGTTACAACTCCATAGTTGTTGAGGTGGGTAGATATGAAAGTATGACTTGTATAGAAAAAGATTGCCAGAACTATATCGAACAAGTGAGATGGTTGAGACTCGGAGAAGGAGATGCAGTAGCAATACAATCCTACTTCTCAAATTTGGAAACACAGTGCTCGGGATTTTATTTCAGTATTGATTTGGATGATGAATCGCGGTTAAGGAATGTATTTTGGGAAGATGATAGGTGCAACCAGGCATACAAGGGCTCGGCAATGTGGTCACGTTCGATACAACTTATCTCACAAATAAGTACGATATGCCTTTCACTCCTTTCGTTGGCATCAATCACCATAGACAATCAACGTTGCTTGTTGCGGTTTGCTTTCGAATGAGGATACAAATAATTTTGTGTGGCTGTTTAGGACATGGCTTCAGTGTATGCATGGTGTAGCTTCCCATGGAATAATCACTGATCAAGATAGAGCCATGTAAAATGCAATTCAAATTGTTTTTCCAAATACAAACCATAGATGGTGTTTATGACACATTTTGAAGAAGTTGTCAGAGAAGTTTGGGTACCATATTGATAAGGGTTATATATTTTCTGATATATATGAATTGGTGTATGATTCCTAGTTCGTTGAAGAGTTTGAAAAAGGTTGGATCGTGATGATCAATAAGTTTAAATTGCATGAAAATGATTGGTTGTCTGGACTATACGAGAACAGAAGGCGTTAAGTTCCTTACTTTCTGAAAAACACTTTTTAGGCAGGGATGCCAACAACGCAAAGAAGTGAGAGTATGAATGTGTTTTTCGACGACTATGTACATTCGAAGACCTCATTGAAATAATTTGTGGAACAATATGAGCGAGCGCTATGAAATAAGGTTAAGAAGGAATTTCAAGCCGATTTCAAGTCATATTCACAAATGCTACCATGCGTAAGTACGTTTGAAATGGAGAAACAACTTCAATCTGTTTACACAATCTCAAAATTCAGGGAGGTTCAGGAGGAGTTTACAGGGAAGATGTGTTGTGACCTCATAACTGCTTCAAAAAATAGTTTTGGGACAACGTATGAGGTACGTGAAGTTGTGGCATGCGGCGAGTGAATGAAGAAATTTTTTTTTTGTCTCATTTCAGAAAGAGAACTGTCAATTCATTTGCAGTTGTCACTTGTTTGAGTTTAGGGGGATAATTTGTAAGCATGCTATATCAGTGTTCATCCGTAATGACATCACATCACTACAAGAGAGGTACATACTAAGATGATTGAGAAAAGATGTTAGTAGAGCACACGCAAGGATGGCTATGAACTACGCTGGGTTGGCTAGTACACCTAGTTAGGTGAGATATGACAATATGTGTCAGACTTTTGTTGGATTGGCAGACCTTCCTGCTGATGATGATGGGCAGACTCGCACCATAATGGAATGGATCAAATCGCATCGTAAGGTTCTTATGTTGACATGGACAAGTACAACCAGTAATGTCGTCGCACACCATACGGTACAATTAGGCACCTATTGTCGTATATCGCAGAATACTTCGAGCAGGAGCATACGGGACCCTGAGTATCGAGAAGAAAGGGTGCACTAAAGAAACTTCGAAGTAAAAGCCCGTTGGAGTCGAGTTCGAAGAAAGTACAGGTATTTTAAAATGTCATAATTCATATTCTTCCAAATTGTTAATACAAATCCTCATATGTTCGTTTTGATATGTAGGTAACGTCGACATCGAGCAAAGAAAAGAGACCAAAACCTAGTCAGAATGCTACAGCAGTTGGTACACAGGAACTTCAAGCATCTCAACATCAGCAATATGCAACGCCAAAAATGTTATCGTATTTGCAGTTTTGAATTAATCGAATCAATGGATGTTTAGTTTTTGATGACATCTTTCGATTGGTTTTGTTACTTACGAACAATGAGAAAACTTGTAGATTACTTACTTACTTTATTGGTTACGAACCCTATGAGTAATTATTCTGGACATGCACTTGTTTGGTCTTGTTGATGACAAAGTAGTTTATATCAAGTGATCTTTTCTTGATCTTGTTTGGTCTATTGTCCTGGACATGCACTTATTTGTGTCGTTGGCATCTATTGTTCAATGATCTTGGATTTATTACAAATCAAGCAAAGAGAGGCGATTTTGTTTTATTTATGATCCAATATTTAGTATTCAGTAGTGTGATTCCAAGGTTTTCAAGCTCATACATTTCACGTCGTTGCATTACAGTTTTTTAGATCTGGTAGAATTTTCCATAAATATGTACCTGCCACTCTTTTAAGCCATTGGAATGGATTCCAAACTCTTGTCTTTTACCAATGGTAGTGTGATTTTGATAATATTCAACAATGTAAAAGTACAAACATAATACTCCACCGTCCATAATTGGTTTCATAAATTCCCAGTTTTTATTACAAACCAAGTTGGCACGAAGTTCGCTATAAAGAGTCGTACAAATACAAACCTACGTAACATCAACATTCGTTAAAAAATGGAGCTACTAATACAACTGGCCACTTTTATTTTTCATTCTTCTCCACGATTGCTTTGCCCTTGCGGATTGTCATGAGTTCATCAAAATCTGGACATCTTCTTCGTCGGGGAGCTAAATTTGATATTGAAACATGCGCGACAAATCTGACACTAATTCTTCCGATGCAGGATTTGCCTTGCTATCAATGACACTTGATTCACCACTTGATTTTCCTTTTCCAACCCATTCCCAAAAATCGCATTTTCTGACTACAGCATTTGAATAGTTTTCCTTTGTTATCGGTCTCTCTCTCTTTCCACCTTAAAGCACATCTGGAATCCACTCTTGCAAACCGAGTATCGACACTTACTTCAGTATTCATCAAAGAAGTGTCCATTCGCTCTACAACTATGACAAATTTCGAGATTCTTTCCTCCCATTCTACAATGGAAATCAACTACCCAACATCAGTTTCAAGCACCAAATAAATGTTGGAAATTTACTTAAACATGCACAGCGGAAATAAAACTAGTTTCAATTCCCACCAGGATTCATCTTTGTATTTAGATAAGAACTGTGATGAGAATTATATATTTTCTTGAATCTATAAACTCCTTTGCGTTATCTTTGTTCCAGCAACTTGAATCTGCCTCCTACAACTGTCCAATTGTCCAGCCTCCAATGAAATCCATACAAAGAATAGACTGCAACCGCTAGGATTTCTCCTCTTGTGCTAGTAAGAATTATGAAAAACTATATGGATCTAAAACCCTAGATATGTATTTATATAAGCCCAAACGGGCTCGGCCCGATCCGGTCCAATATTTAATTAATCCATTTAATTAAATCTGGTCCGTAAATTAATTAATTCGTCGCTATAAATAACCAATCCAATTAATTAATTTATCCAACGATTGTTAAATTAATTAATTGACAATTTGTAATCTTCCAATTCTCTTTTGTGTGCGACCCATCAGGTTTCCGGCCACGATGCCTAAGGACGTGAAATATTATTTTGATCTAATCAAAACTAATAAATTAAACACCATTTTAATTTATCACAAATTCACACTCGTCGTCCCAGATTGATATCTAGCAATGTATCAGGGCAACACATGTGACGGAAAATGTCACGTGGTATGACAAAACCAAACCTGTTCGTTTACCATGAAACTATAATCCCTTCATCAATATGATCCAATCAATTACAAGATATAGAAGTGTGTCAATCAAGATTATCGATCATATCTTTCATTCTTCTATTAAGTCAATATGAGTCGAAAACTACTTTTCGACTTATGTGTATACCTTGGCCAAGGATTTCATTATTGACTTAATTGAACGAAATGCAGATCACGATCTTTTACTATCTAAGAGTGACGAATTCTCTATCGGTCATTCACAACCTTCATATGGTTCTTGACATACCCGAACGATGCCGTATTAGTGGCCCTTGACAGAGCAACATCCAACACTATCAAAACATAAATGTTCTCATACAAGGCACTATGATAACCTCAAGTTATAGGACCAATTCCACTACCGAACGTTAGAGATTAACTACTGACACTCAGATAGTTATCCATGTGGAATCTCTTAGCGGGTCTCCAATATTTTGTTCTATAACAAAACATCCATGTGTTCATTTAAGTGTCACCGCACTTTAGCTTGTGAGATCAGCTACTTAATTCACAAGTAAGAAATACCACACGTGATGGTCTATCTGTAATAACGATATCCGTATCTCGTTATTACTTACGACCACGGATTATTCAATATCCAATTATACGTAATTTGTATCTCACAATCACATAATTGTGATTAACAAATCACTTAAACTTGAATCTTCATACTCTATTATTTAATATTATTTATCAGAAAAATAATTTAAATAAATAATAGATCTTGCCAAAATTAAATACATTAAAAGTGTTTATAACCTAAATCGATTGGATCTAGGACATAACACTTACAAACTCCCACTTGCACTATATTCAATCACTCATGTATCTAATATCATAAGCGTCCACATGACGATCATATTTCTGTTGTGACAACGACTTTGTCAATGGATCTGCAATATTGTCATCTGTGGGAACTCGCTCTATCGTTACGTCATTTCTTTGTATAATCTCCTTGATGAGATGATATCACCTTAGCATATGTTTGAATCGTTGATGAGACCTCGGTTCCTTTGCTTGTGCAATGGCTCCATTGTAATCACAATACAAAGTTATGGGATCAACAATGTTAGGAACCACTTCCAGTTCATTAATGAACTTCTTGATCTAGACAGCTTCCTTCGCTGCTTCAGAAGTAGCAATTTACTCGGCTTCTGTTGTTGAATCAACGTTTGTCTCCTGTTTGGAACTTTTTTAACTAACCGCTCCATTATTGAGAGTAAACATATATTTTGATTGAGACTTGCTATCATCTTTGGTAGTTTGAAAGCTGGTATCATTATACCCATGAATCTTTAGTTCATTTCCTCCATAGATCAAGAACACTTCTTTAGTCATTCTCAAGTACTTAAGAATGTTCTTAATCGCTATCCAGTCACCAGGGTTTGCTTGAAACCTGCTTGTAATACTTAGAGTATATGAAACATCTGGTCTCGTACATAGTATCGCATACATGATAGATCATATCGCCGAAGCATAAGGAATCTTATCCATGCGATTCCTTTCATCATGTGTTTTAGGATACATATCTTTCGAGAGGTAAATTCCATGTGAGATGGGACATAAACCTCTCTTAGACTCTTCCATATTAAATTTTCTCAAGATTTTATCTATGTACGAAGATTGGGATAAGCCCAGTAATCTTTTAGATCTATATCTATAGATCTTGATTCCTAAGATATACGCTGCTTTTCCCATATCTTTCATGGAGAAATTCTTTGACAACCATAATTTTACCGATTGAAGCATTGGGATGTCATTTCCCATTAATAATATGTCATCGACATATAATATTAGGAATACGACCGCGCTCCCACTTGTCTTCTTGTAAACACACGGTTCATTTTCATTTTTGATAAAATCAAACATTTTGATTGTCTCATCAAAGCGAAGATTCCAGCTCCTTAAGGCTTGCTATAATCCATAAATGGATTGATTTAGCTTACATACTATGTTGGCTCCTTTGGATTCAAAACCTTCAGGTTGTGTCATGTACACCTCCTTTTGTAAATTTCCATTAAAGAAAGTAATTTTGACATCTATTTGTCATATCTCATAATCGTGGTATGTAGCTATTGCAAGCAAAATTCGAATGAACTTTAGCATGGCTACAAGCGAAAAAGTTTCATCAAAGTCAACGCCTTGTCTTTCTGTGTAACATTTCGCTACTAGCCTTACTTTGTATGTATGGACGTTTCCATCCACATCGACCTTTTTCTTGTAAACTCATTTACAACCTATTTCTTGTAATGATTCAATGATGATAAGTGAATACCCGTCAACCTTTATCTTTGTATGGATGTTTCCATCCACATCGACCTTTTTCTTGGAAGGTCAACTAAGGTCCAAACCTTGTTCTCATACAGAGTTCATTTCAGATTCCATGGCTTCTTTCCATCTCTTCGAGTCAATATTTGACTTCGCTTCTGCGTAATTTGTAGGTTCATCATCATCGACTAATAATACTTGATTAGTAATCGTGAATTCGTACCTTCTGGAAAGTGGAATGATCCTACTTGATTTACGCTAAGCTGGAGTGTCCTCAGGGCTCTCTACATCCTGATCAAGAGTCTGTCCATCAGCAAGTATGGGATCAGACTCAGGTTCATCTAATTAGTCAACGGTATCTGTGGATTCTTGAACTTCTTCAAGTTTTATATTGCTCCCACTACCCTCTCCTAGAATAAATTCTTTCTCTAGGAGTATGACATGTCTTGAGATGAACACCTTCTTCTCAACGGGATTGTAAAACTGATATCCAATTATCTCTTTGTGGATATCCCACAAATACGCATTTATCAGATTTAGCCTCAAGCTTATCTGATTCATTTTGCTTCACATAAGCGTTACAACTCCAAACTTTCATGTGAAATAAGTTTGGTATTTTTTCTCTCCATAGCTCGTATGGAGTTTTGTCAACTGATTTAGATGAGGCATGATTAAGTGTATAGCACGCAGCAATTAGTACATAACCCCAAAATAATTTTGGGATGTTTGCATGATTCATCATTGATCGCACCATGTCTAACAAAGTGCGATTTCTCCGTTTAGATACACCATTATGTTGCGGTGTATATGGCGGAGTCCACTGCGAGGGAATCCCATTCTTTTTTAGATAATCTAAAAAATCTCCCTTTAAATATTCTCCACCTCGATCTGATCTCAGTGTGAGAATATTTTTACCAGTCTGTTTCTCTACTTCAAGTTTGAATTCCTTGAACTTTTCAAGTGTTTCATGCTTGAATTTCATCAAATACACATAACTATATCTAGAACGATCATCAGTGAATGTGATGAAGTAAGAGAAACCACCTTTGGTGGTGATTGACATGGGTCCACATACATCAGTATGTAATACTCCCAGCAATTCTGTGGCTCTTTCTCCTTTTTCAGTAAAAGGAAACTTGGTCATTTTGCCTAACAGGCATGATCGCATTTGTCAAATGATTCAAAATTAGTTGACCCCAAATATCCATCTTTATGTAACTTAGAAATGCGTTTGTCGTTAATATGACCCAGTCTGCAATGCCAAAGGTATGTATTATTCAGATTATCACTTTTATGTCTTTTACTTTCTATACCCATAATGGATGACTCAGTATCAAAAATATAAATTTCATTTTTGCAACACATCACAACCATAAAAATCTCATCTTTATAAAACGAACAACGATTGTTCTTAACATTAATTGAAAAATCATTCATGTCCAAACACGAAATAGAAATAATGTTTTTAGTAATGACGGGAACAAAATAACAATTTTTTAATTCTAATACTAAGCCCGAAGGCAATGGTAAGAAGTATGTCCCTACAGCTAATACAACAACTGTTGCTTCATTCCCCACATCCAGGTCAACTTCTCTTTTCTACAGTGGTCTACTTCTCTTTAGTCCCTGCATCTTTATACAAATATGAGATCCACATCCGGTATCTATTACCCAAGAAGCTAATGAAGTAGACATATTAACCTCGATAACAAAAATACCTGAAGTAGATGTTGAAAAATTACTCACCACCGGGGTTGGAGAAGAAACAATGCAGAAAATTAATCAAGAGGATTAAAAAACGAATCAAGATCATGACGAAAATGGAAGGCTCAAACACGACGTTACATCGTTGTTCTCAAACGATATTTGCCCCCTCTTGGTATTAATGTTGGTGCTTAAAGGATCTTGCGGCAAACAGTTTGAAGGATTGATCAAACCTTGATGTAGAGAAACACAAAGCACAAGCATTTCTTCACCCGAACTTGAAGAACA